CATGGCCCGTAAGATAACAAAACTTACAGACGATACCTTAGCGATTGTGTTCCCTTTGTTGCCGATTGGAGCCATAATGATTGTTATTGTTGCGGGCCCTCCGATTGGTGTTGGACTGGTGGTTACGCCGCGGGGGTGACGAGGTGTGTTGAGTAACATTAGTAGTAGTAAAAAAGGACTGACGCAAAGCATCTACGTCTGTCAATTGGTGTTCATGGTCAGTCAGCACATCTGCCAACGCGCCAAAAGAAAGAGGCTTCTCACGAACGCGGATGGCCGATGTGATGGAACTGTAATCCTCGCCTAGCTGAGTCAATACATAGACGATTAGATCTTCGTCAGGTACGGGACACTGAGCCAACGCTAAATCATCAGCTATGGCTCGCATGTCATTGAGATAAGTGGTGATGGACCGAGACCCTCGCGGATTCCTTGTGAGTTTGGCCTTGAGGGATATGATACGTCCTCGTGAGGCACTGGCGTAACTAGCAACAAGACGTTGCCACGCATCATGAGCTGTCGCAGTCGAGGAGATAAGGGGTTGTATGGTGTCAGTACAGCTCCCAAGTAGAGCACTGACAATAACTTGGTCTTGACGATACCAAGCTAAATGAGCCGGGTTGACAGAAGTTTGAGCAGGATCAGTGAATTTGGCTGGTTCTTTGGTTGTACCATCAACATAGCCAAAGAGATTAAACCCAACAAGTGTGGCATGAATTTGATGCCGCCACACCGGGAAATTCACGGTCGTGAGTTTAATTGGGAAGTGTGTTGGGGCATTTAATTGGATTATTGTGGTTGTAGTAGCGGAAGCCATTTGGAAGGGGAAGGAAAAAAAAAACTTCATAGGAGAAATTAGGCTCTTAATACCATAATAGATTATGAACTTAACTGATATTATTGATGTAAAACAATCAGCTTTAAATAGCATACAAGGGAGAGAAGATAGTGAGTAGTTAGCAGGTTGTTGTAAGTTGTAACAACCAGTCTAACAATGCTACATAAAAGGAATGCAACTAGAACTAATCATATACAAAACATGTCAGCCACAGATATCCTTAACACCGTTCTTCTCTCCCCATTTGTATATATAAGCAGTAGTACGTCATATTTATCCTCTGTATCTTTACACAAAATCAATACATAGTCTTCGTTCATTATATTCTCTCCTCTTCATCATGGTATCGGATCTCCCTAGGGGCTCCTATGCAGCGGCAGTCACCGGCGAAATGAGTTAGCAGGGACAACCGGTGTCTCTGATCACTGAATCACTGAATCAACTGCAATTCCACATGGGAATTCTGTTCCGCAATCTCACAGAATTGAAGCTCCAACCTAGAAGACATGCATGGAGAATCCTCTCTTCTTCAGCTCAAGTGATAATCCTAGCACACTGCTTGTGTCTCCTCTGTTGATCACCAGCTCCAATTACAGTGCATGGAGCATATCCATGCGAATAGCACTTGAAGTAAAAAACAATTGGTGTTTTGTCGAAGGAACTATCTCGGCGCCAAGTCGCGATCAGAATCATTATGGAGCTTGGAGGATATGCAATCTGATGATTTGTTCCTGGATCTTCATATCGGTGCACTCCTCCATATCTAGTAGCATCATGCACCTGGACAACGCAAAGGACGTCTGGGAGGATCTCCGGAGAAGGTTTTCGCAATGCGATGCTCAGAAGATCTCGACGGCTTAAAACAGAACAGTCTATCCGTGAACGATTATTATACAAAGTGCAGGACCTTATGGGAAGAAATGAATGCCTTGCGCCACTTCCAGTTTGTAAATGTGATCCAAGGTGTAGATGTGATCTCGTTGATGAGAACAGGAAGGAGCGTAACACAGATCGTGTCATTCGATTCCTCCAAGGACTCAATGATGATTATGGGAGCTTGAAGTCCAATATACTTGTCCTTATCCCTTGCCAAAAAATAGTATAAAATGACATTTTAAGTAGCTATTTTGTGGTACAATTATTAGTGGGGTCCACATTCGATTTGGTCAGGTCAAAGTGGATTCGGTTTCTTCGTAGTAAGATGAAGAGATTGATATATTGTACGCTCAAAACGAATAATGGGTGAATCAAGTTGATGAATCTGAGTGTAGGCAACATAGAGATTGTCCAAGCAAATGCAGTTAACCATAGCCAGAACAGTACTAACGAGGCCATGGCTGCTGCTATGAATTCGTATAACCTGAGGCGAAATGGCAATGGGAATAAGGGTGCGAAATCTACATTATGTGGAATGAGCGGGCATACGGTTGACAAGTGTTACAAAAAAACACGGTTATCCATCCGGGTGGATACCGGGATTCAAATCAAAGGCTAAGCAACAAGTGAATGCAGCAGCTGTGACAAACAGTGTAGGTGAACTTGGAGTCTCCTCTGACCAGCTACAGAGACTCATCTCTCTTCTCCAGAATCAATCCAACACACACTCTGGACAATCCATGGCCACGAATACTACTTCTGCCATCACACCGGTTCCAGAATTTAAAGAAACAGACTGCGCAGATGAAGGCAAGTGTCCTAAAATCCATATCAATTATATCTCCTTATGTGATGTTTCTTGGATTATTGACTCTGGGGCTACAGATCATATAATTTGTGTTCTTGAATGTTTTGATAATTATCGTGATGTTTGTGGAGCTGAGGTTAATTTGCCCACTAGAGAAGGCATAGCTGTTAAACATATAAGTGATGTCAGGCTCAACAATGAGTTGTGGTTGAAGGATGCCCTCCATATACCTTCCTTCAAGTTTAACATAATTTCTGTAAGTAAACTCCTACAAGATGCTTGCTGTGAACTGACTTTTGTGCCTGGGCAGTGCATCTCACAAACTAATGACATAAATAAATAAATAAATAAACAGTTAAAAAATTGGGTGACTTGGGTGACTTTTAATTTCAATCACCGTACCACTGGCTGTGTTTATTTATTTATTTATTTATGTCATTAGTTTTTGAGATGGAAAAGACAACATTACCCATGTTAAAATGGGGAGTAAAAATTTTCGCCAAAAATTGAACTGAAATTGCACAGGAATGACCAAATTTGCTAAGAAAGTAATAGTCGTGGACCAATTCTACAAGTTTTAAAAGTTGTGGATCAAACTTGTTAGTGACACCATGGTCGTGGGACCAAAAGTTTAAAAAACTCGATTAATTATTATAATATTTAATTAATATTTCTTTTTTTTTTCAATGTTTTCTGTGACACGTAAATAAAAAGTCGAATTGGTAAATAAGTTTAGGGCAAATTATTTTGTGGACCATGAATATCAGGTACATTTTTAATATATTAAAAATACATTATTTTTATACTGAAAGTACATTATATAAAATAATATATCCTTAGTATATTAAAAATGTATTTTCAAAAAATGTACCTTACGTACATAAATAATATACCCTTAGTATATTAAAAATGTACTTTTTATTTATGATTCGCACAATTGTGTGGATCATGGTCCATGCAATAATGATTGTTAGTTTAGTATTAATTTTGTATTACTCCGTATTAAAATTTTAATTTGCGCCACTAACAGAAGGGAGTGGATTTCATGTTGGCCCATTTAGTTAATGGACTACAACCTATGAATTGTGGGCTACTCTCAAGGTTTGGTGGAATTGGTGCATACGTGACTATGAATTAATTATGCATTAGGTTGGACAATTTTAATTAAGTTGATTAGACTGTTAACTTAATAATTATAAAATTACAAGTTTGAATTTTAATGGGAACAGCTTATAGGTTTTCTTAGTTTGAACTCGTCACTTATGGACAACTTAAGTTGCTGGTTTTCTTCCTTGTGATCATTTGCCAGCTATGGTTATAAAGTGGATTTCTTTCGTTACTCAAAAAATTATTATGCATTAGGTCTCTCCATTAAAATGATATTTTTATTTTTTTTAATAAGAAAAGGAGGGTTGTCCAATTGATAGTCTTTTTTTTTTTTTTTTTTTTTTTTTTGTAATAGTATGATTAGTATCTCATATTATATCAATTAATACAACCATGGATTTTCATAGTTTTTTTTTTTTTTTTTCCAGTGTGACCATCTCTTTCGGAAGTGTCATATTTGAAAATGGTAAGAGAGTGAGTTATTACTGTCATTTGTTCATTGGAGGATGTTAATTAATGGGATGGACATATGGTCTGGAGTATTTATTTGTATATTTTAATATAACTAAATAATATAATACTAAAAAAAAAGTAAGAGAAGGACAAAATGTAGTCACATGTAAACTTAAAACCACATTCAACATTTAGCAAAACTGACGGGGACTGACATTCCCAAAAGGAAATGGAAGATAAAGGCAATGCAAACCAGCCCAATTTGACATTTATGTATATATATATAGCTCCTTGCTTAGCTTTTTTTTTTTTTTTTTTTGAGTGAATAAGGAATTCTGCAGTAAGTTGAGGGTGTATGCTGGGTAAATCTTAACCAAGTTAGTAAAGTCATTGACTTGGTAATTACAAGATTACAAGTTTGATTTTCTACAAAAGCAATCTATTGGCTTTTGTTGGTTTAAGCCGGTCGGTCATATATGAGTAACTTAGACTGTTTTACCTCGTTGTGATCTTTTATCGACTAAGGTGACAAGACAGAGTTTATCCATTAACTTTATATATATATAGGCTAATGTTCAAGAGCATTCACCTGTTGACCATCCATAAATGTATACAAGTTACTACACGAATACACATGGTAAACGCGCATGCACTACTTGAGGGTGTGTGTTGAGTACATCTCAATTAAGTTGGTCAGGTTATTGACTTGATAACCATAATGTTACAAATTTAACTCTCAACGGAGCGAACTATTGACTTTTCTTAGTATGAGCCGATCATCATTTACCTCCATGTGGTCTTTCACCGGCTATATATGACCAAAAGTGGGATCTACCCATTAGCTTTATATATATATATATATATATATATATATATATATATGCTCCCAAGTCCCATTACACTATATATACACTTCCCTTCCTTGGTTCCCTTAGGAGTGCAGTGCAGTATTAGAGAGAGAGAGAGAGAATGGATGTGAGGAAAGTGATGGTGGTGGTATTAGTGGGAATGGGGATGCTAACAGGGCAGACAAATGCGTCTTTCAAGGACTGCTATGCAAAATGCTTTATTTTCTGCATGATTGAGCCTTCTCAAACTCTATGCTCTTGCACTACCAACTGCCTCAAACAATGCATCTTCAACTCTGATGCTAAACAAGTTGAAGAATCTGATGATCATCAGCAGCTCAGAAACCACAACTTCTGCAAGCTTGGCTGTGCCCTTTCCATGTGCTCCTCCCTCAGCTCTAAGCATCAACCCAGTCAGTAATTCTGGATTTTTAAATAAAATCAAATTTCTTTAATTTGCTCATTTCATTCATTCCCAGTAATTCTGGCTGTTTTTGCAGATAAAGAGAAAATGGATGGTTGTGTTGGATCCTGCTCAAACAGCTGCACCAACAACTACAATTCATCACCATAGCCCATAGCCCATAGCCCATAGGAGGAGCTGAGGCAGAAGCTAAGTGGTCTTCAATAACTCATATTTGTTCTGATTAAGCCAGCTGCCCAGGAAGCATTTTCAATCATTCTTAATTACTGTTTTTTTATTAAGGAAGGAGGTTGATGTAATTATGTAACATACATGCACCCTACCTCACTTCATCTAATCAATCTTTCTTTATTCTGCAATGTAATGTAATGAAGAGCATTTCAGCTTTTCCACTTTTTTTTGTCTGTGTCTGTCTGTTCGCGTGACCCGTGATCCATGGAAACCAATAATCATAACACGTGAACATTCAACAACAAATCAAAGCAAACCACTTACTCCACATTCAACACATTTCCTTGGTAAAATAATAGCAGTGCAATAACCTATTTAAAACACAAAAAACAAAATCAATGTAATGCTGCTTACCAAACACAAGAAGAAATGTATTGGGTCGTTAAGTTTGAGGTTCTACATGGGATGAGATCAACAAGAAAAGACTCCAATGTAAATACTACTATTTAGGTCTACAAAGTCTTTTTTTAGATCAAAATAAGGGTACCCTGTAGTTTATCTCAAATTGCCTCCACTCCTCCATACTCAAGAAAATGGGATCCTCTCAACATCATCGTGGCCAAGTGGTTCTTTAGACCTCAGCAGCCTTAGGTGAGTTTTCAGGTGTCTTTAGAGAAGAAGCAGCAGCAGCAGGAGTCCCACCTTTATGCTCCACCACCGCAGCTCGAAACTCTTCAACAATTGAAGCATCTTTGAATTTTAGAGCAAATGTAGCCAGCTTCTCGCTTGTTTCACTAGCACTATTCACACACGAGAATGTGATCCCTTTTTTGTCCATATTTGCCAGCTTCATTTCAGGAAATAGATTAGCATTCAAAATCAATCGATAATTTCCTTTGGATCTCATAACCAGTCTAGCTTTTTTCACTTCTGTTGTACACACATTCACCTTGATTTCTCCCTTCCCCCGCTCCTTCCACCCTCCATCAAGATATTCAAATAACACAGAATCAGCTGTAAACACGGGCTTCTCATTCTCCTCTCCTGTTTCAACTGAAACCTCCTGCATCGAAGGGAACCCAGCAGCCCCTTCAGACTTAGTGACAGCGGATGTCCCCGAGTTACCAAAAAGGGAAACACTCCCATTATTAGAACTACCAAAACTGAAAGAAGGCTGATCACTTTTCACTCCAAAAGGAGACCCAGTGTCCTCTTTTGAAATGGTTCCAAATGAGAATGTAGCCCCAGAAAATCCAGTTCCAGCAAGTCCAGTGAAAGCATTTTGGCTACTAGAAAGTTGTTGGAATGAACTAAAAGATGGGGTTTCGGCACTCTTCTCAGCAACCTCATTGCCATTGGGCTTTTCATCTTTATTCTCTGTTTTCTCACCTTCTGCATCTTTGCCAATTTCATTCTCCACCTTGGCAGTGGCTGCGTCTTCCTTGGCTTCAACCTTAGTTTCCTCAGGTTCAGCTGATTCAAGTTTTTCAGGTTCATTCTCAGTATTATTTTTGTCAACACTTGATACAGCCTCTGAGTCATCAATCTTGTTTTCTGATTCTTTATCATTCTCACTACTTTTCCCTTGTGCTTCATTGTTCACATCAGCTTTTGCCTCCTCAGTTTCCTCCTTCACATCAGCTTTTGTCTCATCAGTTTCCTTGTTCACGTCAGCTTTTGCTTCCTCGTTCGCATCCTGTTTTTCTTCCACCTTGTCTGATTTTGCATCTGTGGCCTCCACAGGAGCAGTAGCAGGTGAAACCAAGCGTATCCCAGCAAAAGGGTTAGAGGAAGGAGCAGAAGGGGTTGATGATGTCTGTTGGCGCCGAACTTTCACAATTCTTCTACTTGCCATGACCTCATCACTTGCCTTCTGGAAAGTTCCAGTCTCTTGCTCAGATGTCTCATCATCATCATCTAGACCAGGGTTATCTCGTGATATCTCCCTCCCGGCAGCCCTCTTTTTTGAGGGTGGAAGAGCATTTTCAGCATCCCCCATTTCAATGTAGAAACACGCGAAACGTTTTCACAAAAACAAAGAACTCAACAGCTGTAAGAAATCACAAAAAAAAAAAAAAAAAAAAAAAAAAAAAAAAACAGGTAAATAAAGGTTAAATGCTCTCAGCAGAATGAGAATAAAGTAGGGATAGCTGAGGAAAAAAAAAAAGCATACAGTGACAGTGAGATTAAACTTGGTAAAAACTCAAGAAACATAACAAGTTTTCCCAATTATTAACAATTTCATCAAGATCAGCAATGATTCAAAATTAATTGCATATTAATACCACAGCTATTGTTCCTACACACACACACATATATATTTATAAAGGGATACATTGATGATGTTGAGCAAATGTTGCATTTATTCCCATCACATAAACACATTTGTAGTAATGGCAAACTCTTATGCATTTACAAGCCAAAATATTAAAAATCCATATTCCTCATATCCATAATCAAACACCCTATCCACTTTCACATACATTTGAATTTTTTTTTATATAATTCCATTTGAAGTCTTCCAGCTATAAAAAAGGAAATTGTTATACCAAGAAAGAGTCCATGATGAAGTGAAAAAACAGAAATTTGAACACACATTGCTGAACATGGACAGGAATGTTAGTAAGATATTAAAGCTACTTCGATTCATAATTTGAATGGTGGTTTAACAGTGAATTTCTGACTGACTACTCTTGCTCAAATATTTGACTGAATATAAGCTAACAAATCTACACCCCAAAAAAAGGAATAAGGTTCAAATTGGCCACTGAACGTAACCTGAAAATGCAATTAGGCCACTGAACGAAAAAAAAGTGCAATTAGGCCATTGAACACTCAAAAAATGTGCAATTAGGCCATTGAACTCTCCAAACGTATGCAATTTTACCGGATAGCAGGTTACCATCAATTTTGTTACCTGCTTACGTGGCAGCTTAGTTGGCATTTTTAATAATTTTTAAATAATTTTTAATAATTAATTTTAATAATAAATTTTATAAAAAGTTGAAAAAAATTAAATAAAAAATAAAATAAAGTCGTTTTTATTTTTTAAAAATTTTTTTAATAAAAAGTTATTATTAAAATTTATTAAAAATTAATTAAAATTTATTAAAAATGCCAACTCAGCTGCCACGTAAGCAGATAACCTGCTAAAATTAAGGGTAACCTGTGAAATTGCATATTTTTGGAGTGTTCAGTGGCCTAATTGCACTTTTTTTCGTTCAGTGGCCTAATTGCATTTTCAGGTTACGTTCAGTGGCCAATTTGAACCTTATTCCAAATTAAAATAAGCCGCGGAAGAAAGACCTATGAGCATAAACCTAAAGTGTAGTGACACTGTATCCTTCACCCAACTAAAGAAACAACGAATTAATCAGCTTGATTGGAATGAGTAGTAGTGCACTCTCGTTCCTTAAGAGAGTGTTATAGGCTAGGATCGCGTCAAAGGCATAGAAACTTAGGAATACAAAACGAAGCTTTTCTGGAGTGCTTCTTCTCCCCAAATGAAGCGTTTTTGTGGAGTGCTTCTTCTCCCCCAAATGAAGCGTTTTTGTGGAGTGCTTCTTCTCCCCCAATCTTCCCTTCAATAGGAAGCCCAAAATACAAATTTCCCAGATCTCCCTTCTTCAAATACATAGATACCTATTTATACACATAATAAAACTACCCACTACTCCAACTACCCCACTACCTTAAACTACTCTAACTACCTAAGGAAGTGGTCATCCCACTACTACTACTTCTACCACTATAATAATAATAATAATAATAATAAAGTGCCCCATGATCATGGTTATATCATTGCCGCACCCATCAAAATCACCTTGTCCTCAAGGTGATAATTAATGAGACGTAACTCCAAAGCTTGACCAAATCTGCTTCTGTATATTATCAAAGGCATCCTCTCTAAGCACTACTAATAATAATAATCTCTCTTGGACTAGTCTTGTGGTGAACCGATTTCCTTGGCGTGACTAATTAATCTACAACAGCAAATTAATTGAGTCAGCAGCAACTGTTGATTTTGGAAGCAATTCTGCGCAATTCTTGGTTGGCAGCCGTTGAATGATCCATGGCGACACCATGTTCCCTAGCTTTCTTTTGTCAATTCTGGGGATTAGTTTTGTTCGCCGGCAGAATTTCGCTTCGGTCAGCAGTGCAACTGGTTTGGTGGTAGCGGGCGCAAAACTGTTGAGTGTTGTTGCTGTGATTTTTCTTCTTTTTTTAGTTTTTTCCTTTCGTTTTGGGAACAAGCCTGAAAATAATTTTTTCAGGATGATACTCTCAACTGAGCTATCCTCGCAGGGAAGTAACAAAGTCTGATATGGATTGTTCGCCCATGACGACTGGCTCTGATACCAAATGTTATAGGCTAGGATCGCGTCAAAGGCATAGAAACTTAGGAATACAAAACGAAGCTTTTCTGGAGTGCTTCTTCTCCCCAAATGAAGCGTTTTTGTGGAGTGCTTCTTCTCCCCCAATCTTCCCTTCAATAGGAAGCCCAAAATACAAATTTCCCAGATCTCCCTTCTTCAAATACATAGATACCTATTTATACACATAATAAAACTACCCACTACTCCAACTACCCCACTACCTTAAACTACTCTAACTACCTAAGGAAGTGGTCATCCCACTACTACTACTTCTACCACTATAATAATAATAATAATAATAATAATAATAATAATAATAATAAAGTGCCCCATGATCATGGTTATATCAGAGAGGTCAAGAGTTCGAATCCCCTCTTGTATGGAAAACTAATTTGGCCAGCACTTTGGGCGGTGCGAACGGGAATTAGGTTGAGTACAGTACGGGCTTAAAGGTGCATCCTACTGTTAGGGCCCTGCTCAGGATACCTAGTGGTCTAACTCAAAAAAAAAAAAAAAAAAAAAAACATCGAATTGATAAGGTTCTCTCTAGAAGTCCAATCCAATCAATTAAACCCCACAAACAATCCTAGGTAGTTCGCCCAACTAACAATTCTGACTAAATCACAATACCAGGTACAAACTATTACATCAAATCTTCCCCACTATTCACTGTATAAAATCTCGTGAATATATATATATATATATATATATATATATATATATATATATATAAAGAAGTACCAAAAAGAAGAAAGGGCTTAGCTGGCCTTGGCTAGCTAAACTTCCTCAAACCGAACACCAACTTCATTTTCCAGGTATAAACCTAAATCTTCCCGAGTAAACCCAAAATCTATGATATACAACGAATCTCTAAAACATTAACCATAAGGCCCCGAATTTGATAATTGCAAAACAAAATCAGTTTATAAGAAATGAAAATAAGCGCAAAAGAAAAGGACCAGCTTACCTTCCACGCAAATCAGAAAGGAAATAGGTGTAAGACAATAAGACGATTTAAATAAATACATGGAAAAGAAGATGGAGATGGAGATTTACCTTGGGAAATTTGAGCTTATTGGAGGTGATGACGAAGAAGAAGAAGCAGTTCATTTGATTAGGGAATATATAAAACCCTAGAGCAGGGAATAAAACAATGGGCTTTTTTATTTTTATTTAAAAAAAAAAATTGAATTTGGAAGGAGTAAAATCTAAAATCTAAAACCTAAAATTGGATAAAGGGAGCATTCAGAAATGAAGATAAAGGACAAGTGTCGCAATCTAACTTCCAAAAACAATTATTGCCCACTCTGCTCTCTGGGCTTTTCATTTAAGGCTAGCTATGATTAAATGTGGGGTGGAGGAGTGTTGGGGCTATCTACAAATGCACCATACCAGATAGGCTGGGCTGGGCTGGGCTGGGCTGCACAGGGATGAAACTTTAAGTATCAAACCGAACCAACATTTTCAAATTATTCAATTAAGGAATAAGGTTCAAATTGGCCACTGAACGTAACCTGAAAATGCAATTAGGCCACTGAACGAACAAAAAGTGCAATTAGACCACTGAACACTCCAAAAATGTGCAATTAGGCCACTGAACTCTCCAAACGTATGCAATTTCACCGGATAGCAGGTTACCATCAATTTTAGCAGGTTACCTGCTTACGTGGCAGCTGAGTTGGCATTTTTAATAATTTTTAAATAATTTTTAATAATTAATTTTAATAATAAATTTTATAAAAAATTTAAAAAAATTAAATAAAAAAATAAAATAAAGTCATTTTTATTTTTTTAAAATAAAAATTTAAATAAAAAAATAAAATAAAGTCATTTTTATTTTTTAAAAAATTTTTTAAAATAAAAATTTATTATTAAAATTTATTAAAAATGATTTAAAATTTATTAAAAATGCCAACTCAGCTGCCACGTAAGCAGATAACCTTCTAAAATTGAGGGTAACCTGCTATCAGGTGAAATTGCACATTTTTGGAGTGTTCAGTGGCCTAATTGCACTTTGTTTTCGTTCAGTGGCCTAATTGCATTTTCAAGTTACGTTCAGTGGTCAATTTGAACCTTATTCCTTCAATTAATGATCAATCTCACTACTCCACATTAGGTATAGATATGCAATCGTTATATCCTACACCACGGCGCACATAGCACTGTGCGCCGCGCGCCTCCCAAAACGACGTCGTTTTGAGGTCGTGTTGGGAGGCGCGGTAGGAAGTTGCTGGGATTATGTGTATTTGTTCACAACATTATGTGTATTTGTTCACAACGTTATGTGTATTGGTTCATACAGTTATGTGTATTTTTTATACAATTATGTACATCCAAATCAGAAAATTTGTGTGTATTATGTTAAGAGTTTATGTGTATTATGTTAAAAGTTTATGTTTATTAAGTATTATGTTAGATTATGTGTATTATCTTTTAAAAAGAGTATGTATATTTTGTTATATAATTATGTACATTCATGTATACAATTATGTGTATTCAAGTATAACATTATGTACATTCTTGAACAGCGGGTTTTTTTTTAAAGCAAAAACTACTGCCATTCACTGGGGTGGGAAATTTCAAAAAAAAAAATAAAATTAAAACGACGTCGTTTTGCATCTGGGCGCATAGTGCAACACGCGCCGTGGTGTAGGATATAAATTGCCGACTTTGTTACAATGTAATCTAAAAACATAATAAGCTTCAATCCAGGTTATACCCCTGGTTTATGTCCATTTTTTCTGTTAAATTCTTTTGTACATTATGTTATAAAAGTTGTACTACATAATTTTTTGGACAAAAATATCCCTGTAGTTATAACTTCTATTATCTTTCTACATTATTATTACCATGTACATGCATACATAATATTATTTCTTACATCCTTCCATGGTAAGTTTGAATTCATTTAGGTTTTAATTAAAATGTTATCATAGTTATATTTAATAATTTATCATTTCTATAATTTTTACCTCAAAAATATTAATATGAATTATACAATTATATATATACACACACACACAATATATATATATATATATATATATATATATATATATATATATATATATATATATATATATATATATATATATATACACACACACACACACACACACACACACAATTATTTGTTAAAATAATTAATATAACAAAGATTTTAATATTTAGTTTTAATATTGGGCATATATTTTTTGTGCATCGCGCATATAAAATACTAGTATATGTTTATAACTACTGAATCAATGACCTCTCATTTGGAAGAGCCACTTCATACCACTAGACCACAAAGGTCATTGGCTACCCCTACAGCCCTACCTTAATTAGTTAAAAGAAATTGACATATTACCATGTCAAATTCTCTATTTATGGCTTTCCAGGTATAACATTTTATAATTATGCATTCTAAGTAATCAATAATATATATTTACTTAATTAAAATGTGTGCATCAAAATATTTACGCACATTAAATAGGTTAAAATTTCATCATCATTAATTGATTAAATAAACCTTATGAAATGGATGCACAATTGGACGGCTAAAAAAATGTTCTACTTGCATGGACAACTAAGGTACGTTTAATTTTGTTGGGAAGGGGAACAACTGCTATGTTTTTCTAACCGAAAGAATGAAAATTAGATTAATATATTTGTTGACGAGGGAGGCATTGCCATTGGCGTTGGAGGTTTAAGCCTTCAGCATAAAAACGGAATGAACTAATCTTTTCTTCTTAATATGAAAAGAGTAAAAGACTGGGTCGAGAAGATTCTGACAGAAGTTAGGGCAACAAGCTGGCTTAGTGGCTCCTAAATCCTAATCTATCGCGCAATGCATAATTATCGTTGGTTAACGGATTCAATCATGGAGAGTGGAACAAACAATATAATAAAGGTTAAAATGATCCACCCTATCCGCACTTTTCATATAACATAATACTTCTACATTCACAATGGCATTTAAGAATTTCAAAGAATATCATACTGTATTAATTAAGACAACTATGGGGGGGCATCTAAGCTACACAGTATTTAATAACTGAAGCTCAAACAAATGTCGTCTACTGAATGTTGAAAAAACTCATTGCTACAAAATCACACCACAGCCAAGCCAAGCAAACACCCGGTTCCTCTTCACCTTTACCTTTTCAAGACGATTGACGGAGAGTCTGGAATAAAACGGCTGTTGTCAGCTGATAAGGGTAGGGTTAAAATCGCCAACACAAACAAAAGAAAGTTGTACTTCTGTCTGTCTCTAAAATAGAATAACAATTTGAATGAAACTAAACACGGGCAGGCTGATCAAAATTCAACTCTTTTTTCTTACCTTAAGAATGAATTACATACAGCTGGAACCGATTGCATTGACTGGAATCAGGGATGTGTAAGCACTGCCAAAACAACAAAACAGAAAAAGAAAAAGTAAGGTATCATCACAATACACATAAAACCGCATAACACAAGGAACACCTACAAGAAATTAAATAAAAATTAGAGGAAAAAGATCTATGTAAATAAAGTATACTACTATGAAATTAACAACAAGAAGCATTGATGATCATATTTCAAAACAGCATAAACAGACCGACAAGGAATGAAAAACAAAGAAACCAAATTCAGAACCTAAAGATGCTGTGCAGTATATTCTACATACTATGTGGAAGGTGGTCTTACAAATCCTATAAACTTCCCAACCAGAAAATTATAATAGTATATGAACTCCCTTGGTTTTTGTGACAATTTCAGTAACAAAAAAATATTTCCTGTAGTTTACACACTCAGAAACGTCGTGAATGCAGCATTATAAAAAAACTTGCAAATATTTTCATAAATAAAAATGATATCAGCAATATTAAATATGAATAAAAAATTTGTAGGAAAAGAAAGAGTGGGAAAAAAACTTGGAATGCAGGTATGGGAGTTTGAAGCAGCGGCTAAAAGAAATTGAATTAATCACCAGCGACAAAACTACGATTTTCACACCAGCCCAACCAATTGCTTTTAAGCTGACTGTTTTCCTTCATTATTCATACCCCACTCTTCATCAGCATCGTTTCCATTAACAAGCACACCATCTGTTGATTCAGCATCCACCACAACAGCCTCTTCTTGGCCATCTTCATGCCCCTCTGGTTGAATATCATCTTGCTCCGGCTGCTGTCCCTCGCCTTCATTCTGTACTGCAGCCTGTACATGGAAATTGAAAAGAAATTTTCAACTTGGGGCTAAACAAATAAAACCAAACTAGTATATAAAAGTTTATGAAAGATTCCTAAGTAACTGTTGGAAAAGGACAAGAAATTCAGTTGAGTATGGAACTGTTTAGGTTGTATAAAATGCATTAAGAAAATAGAACAAAGAACAGAAACCAAGGGTTAGAAGTCAGCATCTTTGCACAAAGCCAATCAAATCAAGAGAATTAGGTTTTCTTTTTGTTAAAAATGTATACCTCATGATCCAATTCTCCATTTTCAAGGGGTTCCTCTTCATCCATCCTCATATTCCTGAAAGCCTCCACAAGGTTGACTGCAGATCTATCAGCATGATTTAAATATTCGGCTGCTGGTGGGTAGATACCTCTGCAGAGCAAGTGACAACACCAGAATTACAAAAGCACCACAAAAAGAGTTTGCATGACAGATTTCTAATACAGCACATGAACAAATTTACTTGATTACAGAGTACGGTCAAACACATTTCTAACTTTATCCATTTCAAGCCCTTGTACAAATCAAAGATTGAGGTGAAGAAAAGGGAACAGCAAAGCATATCTTCACATACTAATACAGAGAAGGGAAAAAAGAAACAGGAGAGTGAATAGCAGTATGATGTATACCTGGTCTCTGCAACGCTAGATTCAACAGCAAGTGCAACTTGCCAATCCTCAAACAAGTTCGGATATTCTTGAGGATCAGCCAAAGCCTCAGCAGCTTTCTGGTTGACCTGCACAATTGCACATCATAATTCATTCACTGAACCAGGTCAAACATTTTTTAAAACAAAACCCTCCTCCAAATAGAGTTTTCATGTTAAAACCATTATCAGAATTCCATTTACATCCAACACAGACTATTTAAATAAAGTCTCAATATTATTTCAACAGCAAAAGGATATAGCATACTTGTAGTAAATCAAATAAAAAATACACTCCAGAGAAACTACTTTTCTGAAAGAGAGTGATCGCAATGGACTAATAAAGTTTTTTGCACCATCAACTCTATGGCAAGATGATAGGATGTGCACCAAAATAGCTTTAACTGATCTCCCTACAGCAAACTTCATGAGAAAATGATTTTTTTTTAAGAAGGAAGAAAAAAATACTAACCTTGTTAAGGTCCTTTCTCCAAATGGAAACTATTTCAGAGACTTTACTGGGTAAATATGATCGTGCCATAAATGCTGCTTCAGGTATACGGCCACTGCATTAATAAAGATATAGAATGTCATCCCCTAATTCGAAAAATTACATGCAGCCTAACAGGACTGTGTTAAGTAATGAATAAAGATACCTGTCAATCAACAGCTGAATGCACTCATCCACTTTACCCAGCAGAAATAGGCAAAGGAATGAAACATTATTCTTCCCATGCTCCTTGGCAATAGAAGCCAATCCAGTTATTCCATCAGCGTCTCCTAAAGAAGAATACAGCAGCAACAGGCCACTCAGGTCATTTGCATGTTTCAAACATTGCTCTGCCAACTCCAACTGCAATTATAAAATAAAAAGGCAACATAGTTATCAAACCTAAAAAAGCACATAAAGGACAGAAATTTAATCAGGAAGCACAAACATTAAAACTAAGAAAGATTATCCTAAATAGTAATGCTAGGGGGCACAGGGAAAGAGTGGCATCAACTTATACAGAGCAATTATATTACTATATCAACACTCATCCATGAAACATCAAAGAGATTCAAAGAGGAAAAACATTTCAGCTCATATGGCCATTAAACAATTACCATTCCGGTAGACATAGCAAGTTCCCCCAACTGCTTCCATTTGGATTCACTCTGTGCTACTACAGCAATTTCCTGCACCATAGATCAAAAAGATGAACAATATCCAACAGGCTCATCATTTAACAACCCTTCTTACATCAAGAAGAAGAAAAACAAAAAAGAAACCCCTCACTTCAATAACTAGAAGTCAGATGCACATACCTTTGCAATCTCTAGTCTTCCAAGCTGTATTGCCAGTTCAAATTTGTAGTCAGGGTCTGTAGCAACTTCCAATGCTTCTTCTACCATTCCTCGTGATTCCAAGAAACGGGCCACACTGAAAGGGATACAGTTCAAATTTCAGCAAACAAGTAAAAGAATTTGGGATGGACATAACCCAACTCAACTCAACTAAAGCCTTAATCCCAATCATCTAGTTAGGTTGGATGTATCCATACCGTGTTTCATATTTCCATTAATTTTAATGTGTAAGATCTCTCATAAGTCCTGAACTATCAAAACTTTCTTTATAACTGAAGTTCCAGTCTACCTCATCCTCTCCTATCATGTTATCACTTCCAAACCAGTGCATCCATATGTATATGTTGATCGTGTTCAGATTACCTATATCAATTTTCTCTCAATCTTTCCTGCATATGGATTATGGAATACTCTGCTAAAATCATTTCTAATATGGTCCTGACATTCCTATACAACCAATTTAGCATTTTTATATCATCTACATCTATCTTATGCACATTCTGTTTCTTTATTTCACCTGCTTGCAATAGAGAGTTGTAACTAGCATAATATTCCTTTTTAATAGGAATTACCTTTCTCCTTCACAGAAATTTACAAAATCATAAAACCATAATCATGTTTCACTTTATCTAACTAGCAATAACTATATGCGTCAAGTTATAATCTTCAAATAGTTTTCATTTGTTCTTTTTGTATGATGTGTATCATGTTATAACTTATAAACTGCAGACTGCAGCACAAAGCCATTTCAAAGAAAACAGTGCTAATGGTCATTGTAGTATGTCAAAATGACAATGCTCTGCAGCATTATTGAACCGAATTCACATTTCCCCACCAGAAAAGTCCAACCACTGTCATAAAGAGTTATTATTTTTATTTAAAAAAATATTATTAAAATAAAAAACACTTGAAAGCAAACAATCATTCTATAAGGATAGACATTGCCATAGGCCAAAACTTGTGTGTACCTATTGTGGTGCTCCTTGGGAATCGATGGTAAGACCTCATTCGCTCGCTCCAGATCACCACGCATTACAAGTGTCTTGTACTCAATCAAGCTAAGCAGTAAAGTGTATCCAACAACACTGTGGCAGAAGATATTAGAAGTGAGTTACGAATGATTACAAAAGTAACTACGATACCAAAAATATTACTAGAATGCTACTCACTTGAACTCTTTGTCAATAAGATACACCCTGCTTAGGTTTGCAAGATAACCGAGCAGGTACATTGGGCGGTCTAAATGGAACATTGTGGTCACCTAGAAACATCATATAAAATACATTTTCTCCCTCACACATAAGAAACAAATTGATCTGCAAAATTATAATGCCAAAAGATCAATGTAAAGAGCATGCTATTTTACCTCACCGCCAACACAATAATTGAGTCTCCAGGAAGAATTATTGTAAATGAAACAATCCCCAACCCATAATCCAGTCCGAACCCGTTCACTGATCTCATAAAGAAGTTCAAAAGCTTCTTCTACACCTTGTTCATCAGCTGATCTTCCATTTTCTAAATGTGCAGATACAACATCACGCTGCAATGTTTAATTCAAATCCAATCAATCCTTGATACAAGAAACGGGAAAAAAATATAAATAAATAAATAAATCCCAGTATGTAAATCTTCCAAATGGGAGCTCTTACATTATACTTAAGAATGTAAAATGATGTGTCACTTGCAATTGTCACTAGATCACCACTGTCAGCCCAGTAGAGGTTCTGGAAAAAAGTTGGTAGCAGAACACCAAATGAGCATGCAAGTAAAACAGTAATCATTGCTCAAAAAAAAGTCAATTCTGTTATTCTTACTTTGACATTAACATCAATCCGCCTTATCAACCGGCAGTCAGCCCAATCATAGAAGCAAATAAAATCATTTGAGCACATTGCCAATAAAGTACCCCCATATATGCGCTCAGCAGAGAAAGTCGGACGGATGCTTTTCTTCTCCTAAAGGATGTTAAAATGATTTGCTTTAGCCAGCATGTAAACAGAGAACTCACTGTGCATTGCAGCAGCATCAAATCAAATTGCAGGAACAATAACTAGAAGATATAGCATACAAAGTCAACAAAATTGACCATTAAGGCTCTTGAGCATTAGTAAAAGTTAAAAAGAAAAAAAAATAGTCTACTGTAAATGAAATTACATTGTTTTGGTTTCAAATTGACATTTGGGGAAAAAGATAAAGAAGACTGGTGTGCCAGGAGGGAAGAAAGGGATATAAACCTGGAAATTTTTACTGAAGATCTTAATTTTTGATGTACTTTCCCTCACAGCATATTCCCCATCTGATGACCAAGCAAATTCGAGTGCAGATCCAAATGACCTGTTTCTCCAGGCCAGAGCTGTATATATAATGTATTCACCATCTCCGCAAACAACAACAAACCTTCCATTGGGATTATGTTTTAAGTTCTGTAGAGAAAGGAAGAAAGCAAGACACAACAAAATCAGCAGACATCATTGATTAGTAGTGCAGCTTTATCCGAATCTTCTCAAGCTGGTCTCAAAATGCCAATAATAAGACCTACAACTCCTACAAGGCTACAATGAACTTTTCCATTTTATCAATAATATTTTATCTACAAAAGACTCTAATTAAAGCACACAAGAAAGAGATACTACAGAGTAGACTTTAAAGAATCATGCCACCGAAGGATGACATTTGCTGAGAAGAATTTCATATAGGTGATTAAGTGTTGTTATGATTTATTAAAGCTTCTTAGGTCGTAATCAGCACCCTTACATTCTCTGGGTTGCACTGTTGCAACAACCAAATGGTTATTTGCTTATTCCATACCTCAAGAACCTAAAATGCAGTACAAGGATAGCTTATTCAAATGGCAGAAATGTGGGAAGTGTCACATTTCAGGTTCAGCATATTAAATGGTAGAAAGACCACTTCTAAACTCTACAAACAATATTTCAAACAAAAATCTCAGTCACATGCAATTAAATCTTAAACATCAAATGAAAATTGAGCAATGAACTGTTACCAAAATAAAGCAAACACACCTGTGGGTAGAGGTCACATGTTCCCAATTCCTTGACAGCCAATGGCAACCTTTCTCCATCAGTAGCCTGAGACATAAAACATACAATTAATTCACCATAACACCATAATGTTAAGCTGTAGAAATATTGTAACCAGGTAAGCAGAACCCAATCAAATAATACCTCATAATCTGATCCCACACTCTTTATATTAACTGTTTGGATCTCATTGTGCTTTGCCCATATGATTTTCCCACTGTTATCCATACTAGCAACAGGCACTTCACGACCTATTTTGACCATAATGGTTCCCTCATCATAACCAATCACAATCCTGTCCATTGGCAAAACAGTATAGAGTGCTATTACCAAAGAAAACATATGTAAATAAAGCTAGGAAAGTTATTCCTGAACTAGTTGCTCTTAATATTGCCAAGTATTAGCTTATTCCAAACTGATGCATAGTTCACTTTTTCATTAGTACTATACATAGTTAATTGAAATAACCTTTCCAATTTCTATGAAAGAATTTGAAATCAAATACTAAAGGCACTAAACCTGAAATATCAAATTAGAGACACGTAAATGAAGCATGCAAGGAACTTGACAGACTAGCAATTGCAGAGGCATGGGCTTAATTGGAGAGAAACTAACCTTCTTGAAGCTTTCATGTAACCAACTGCCCAGACCCGCTCAAGGCCATAATTCAAAGTGTTTTCAAGTCTGCAGGAAAACTCAACTATTAAAGAAGGGGAAAAAGAATTGGAAGCAGAGTCACTATCAAAATTATAAAGGGTCAAAAAAAATGAGACAATACAACTAAATACATACTACCAAAACTCCCTACAGGTCTAATTTATGAGTGAGTTATGACAAGCATAAAACATTTTCTTCAATTTCTGTATCAAGCAAGGTTCTCCTAAAACCTTGTGAATCAATCAGAGAACCTCCATAAGTATCAAAATTATCCTTTTAACATAGAATAATCAAAGTTGTTTCGCTGTGGGAATAACGTATAGTCTCCGGCATTAATCATGTTCGCAAAAATTAAAAAAATAATAATAATAATAAAAAATAAAAAATAAAAAAAGCTTACAAGATATAGATAGATATTCAACACACAAATGGGTGTGAACAACATGGAGAAAATCAACAAAGTGCAACAATGTACTGAAAATCTACCTATAAGTTGTTGCATGCCATATGCGAACAGTACCATCTTCAGAACCCGTGATTATAATAGGCAGTTCAGGATGAAAACACACAGCAGAGACATTATGTGTGTGCCCTTCTAGAGTTTGCACACAACTTTTCGTCTGGTAGTCCCACACCTAGTCCACATTGACAAATATAAATATAATTTAGATTGCATTCAACCCCAACTGATGGAATATGAAAATAGAAGTGTGTGGCAAACCTTTGCAGTGTGATCATCAGACCCAGTGATTAAGTAAGGTTTATCACCACCTGTGAAATAATCTACACAATTCACACCTTTCAGATGGGCATCCAGCGTGAAGTTTGGATCAGGTGAGCCAAGATTCCAAATCTTAAAAGACATAAGCACATAGTGTCACCTTCAATCAGTGATATAATGAAATGGAGGAACATTTAACAGGTAGTCAACCCAAAAAATAAAATAAAATATCTCTAACCTTTATAGTTCGATCAAGAGATGCACTAGCAAAAGTGTTGGTATCTTTTGGATTAAATGTCACTTGCATCACATAATGGGAATGGCCCTCAAAAATTTGAGTGCACACCCATCCTTTCTCCCAATCCCAGAGCTTTATCAGCATGTCATCAGATGATGACAGCACATAAGGAAGAGTAGGATGAACAGCAACACACCTGATATAATCTGTGTGAGCTTCAAAGACTTTAACCTTATCCATGGTGTTGTAATTGTACACCCGAATAAACATGTCATCAGCACCAGCAACAACCCACTGCTTGCGTGCAATGAACTTTGCTGACCTAACTGCAAGATAATAAAGGTCTTACAGAACAGCCAAGCTTCATTAAAGTAAAAAAAGAGGCCTACATAAACTCTGACCAAACAAGCAAGATAGTAGAAACTCATGAACCTGGTAACTCAGTCACTTCAAAAGATTTTGCCATTGCCTGCAAGAAATTACATGAAGCTTCCATTAGCAATTTATGTTTGCAAGAACTCTCTATAACTAATTAAGAAGCTTTAGTATAGACAACTTAAATTGCAATCAATATGATCTGAAGGAAAATATTTCTTGACAGGCAAATGCAAGGGGGGAGAAAATTTTTATTCGGCTCATTCATTTTAATGATAGTCCTAATTGTCATACTGCAGAGGATTGGGTTGGAGACCGAGCTCAGTAGTTTGCTGTAAGGACATATGTGCAATTACCAAAAAACCTCTCCTACCAGAGGTCCCAAAACTCTACAACCTTGTGCTGTGAGTCTACCAAAATAACATACTGTGCTATAAAAAAAATGGCATGGAGACAGTTGTGAAATATGAATACAAATCAAATAATGATAAAGCAGTGAACCTCACGTGTCGTCTATTTTCTTTTTATTCTTCACACTTGTTTTGTGTGCATCGGGGTGGGGGGTGGGGCGTGGGGGGGGGGGGAGGGGGGGTGGACAAACCATGGAGTCTTATAGTTGAAGCTAGAGACAGTGGCAAATGAAATATACATAGATTGATATATAGCAGAAAATATAACCATAAATAAAAAGCTTAACTTGAAAATGCCTAAAATGCATTGTCAGATGGATGTAATCTCAATTTTCTATTGCTGTGTAATATCACATGTGTGTGGATAAGTAAACGTAGAAAATAAGATAATATAAGCATAATTCTTGTGGTGCCTCGCATTTTTGGCAGAATCTGCTTTTAAATTTAGCTAGGAAGCTAGATACATGATGGTAAGAATGAAGCATGTTGAGAACTACAAAGAACTAATATTGACTAAGTTCATGAAATAGAATGCCACAAACCAAATTTTCCTTACCTGTGTTTGGTAGTTCCAGATGCAAACAGTCCCAGAATACAAACTCGCTAGTATCCTGCAAGAAGGACAATGTATAAATTGATGAACAGGCGTGATCTAAATGAATAGCTAAGTCAATCCAGTCCATCAAAGACTCTGCTAATCAACAAGGGAAGAAAAACTTCTATTACATGAGCTCAATTAATTAGTCAATCAGATATATGAATTTGCCTTTCCCATCACAGCAATGTTTCAATTAGTACAATGCTGTCAAATGCATGCATTTGTACATATAGACTTCGAACAACATAATTGGATCAAAAAATAAAAGAGTATTTACCATGGCTCGGTTGGATGCAGATCCACCGACTTTACTCTTTCCGATCTTTGAGCAACTTTTCTCTGATCCAATAATCAAAGGCAGCATTGAGCAAATACTTGCAAACGGGAGATATAAACATAAACACATATCTATGAAGTCGCAGTACGAATCAGAAAGACAACAGTACCTTGATTTCCAACCTCAGAGGCTGCATATTGCATAACAGTAACGAAAAGAAACGGAACTTCGGTTAGTAACCACAAAACAATAGCAGATCTCACCAAAATCAGTGTTCAACGAATTAATGAAGAATCCAGAATTCGCGCTATAAGCATAAAACTATATAATTCGCATGATAATTGCAAAGGAGCTTGCTATTCTCCAATCACTGCCGACCACCGTGACCGAACCGAATCAGATCTAGCTCGCAACGCAATGCAAACGAGAGCGGGGGAAGTAAGGAACTCACCATATTCACAGATGAAAGGGAAGCTACTTAGATTGAAGAAACCAATCGGAGATTTGGAAAAATGAGCAGCCCTAGAGATCCAAGCAAAGATCACAGAGGAGCGAATCCACTGACGCGCGCGCGCGCAGTCGGGTGCGGAGATCTTCTTCGAATTGGAATTGCGGGCCGAGCGATGAAACTCTAATAGAGAAAGAGAGATCTCAGGAGAGAGAAAGTGCAGAGATTGTGCTCATGCCACAGCTAAGTTTCCCTCTGTGATATGCGAGGAAGTGAGGGACGAAGAGGAGAAAATGGGAATTTTATGAATTTTGGATTTCAGTTTTTTTTTTTTTTCTTTTGCAAAAAATTTTGGATTTCGGTTGCTCGCTGGTTCTGTAGTACTTGGTGTGGTCACTGGTCAGTAGTCACTACCTCACTGGAATTCATTCTTGCGCAGCATGTCCGTTGATGAAGATGATGTGGCGTGATGAACGGTGGAGAACATGAGTTAACCCTGCCTGAGTTACAAACTTTCTAGAGTATCGTTTGGTAGATTATTTACCTCGATTAAAATTGATATAAAATGACTTTATTTTTTGTAAGAAGAAACATTAACTTTCATTCAAACTTTCGAAGATAAAACATTAACAATAAAAATAGGTGAATAAACTAACACCCCATACATTCAGACATAGAAAGAAATCCCCGAACTAGCATGTGAGCAATTTTATTTGCGATCATTTTGCAAATGAAATAAACACATTTGGTTCTTAATACTCAACTCGCCCACAGAATCACTCTCTTGGTTCTTAATCTTTCCTTCTTTCTTTTTTTTTTCTCTCTGTGGAATCAGGTATCGTACTTTCAGTGTGCACACCTCCTAACTAGAATTTCAAGCCCGGCGGGTAGTATCTAACCTAGTAACTCGGGAATATCGACCTCGTTACTTCTAAAATCTGTTGGTTCGTATTGACCGTTTCTTTCTTTTCTCAAACTTTCTTTCTTTCCCTTTTCTTACGAAAGAACATAGTCCTAACGGTACTCCAAAATACTATTTTTCTCACAATAGATAGATAATATATATACATCATGCAACTTTTTTCTCATGCAATTTCTTTTCTTATGCAACAAACTTTACTTATGCAAGTTCATGCACATAAATCGCAAACAACTTCTCTTTCTCACATTTTGAAAATCAAATATCATGCAATCTTTTCAATGCAAACTAGATAATGATTTTCCAAAATAGATTAAAGCTTCACTATGAGCATTTACTGTATTAATCTTTAAAAGTGGCAAAATGCCCTTTTCAAATGCAAAGTTGGTAAAACAGTGACTTATGCAAGAAATCTCAAGAATTACAACAAATCTTCTATTCATGAGCTAAGCAATGCAATTAGCACATTTAGTCAAATAATTCTTGTAAGCAAATGCTACTCTGATAATTCATAACTTGAACTCAAAATCAGTGTTGTGAAAATCGCGCCTAGGCGCTAGGCGGTCAACCTCCTAGGCGCCCACCTAGCCGCTCTAGGCGTTCTAGGCGCCCTAGGCGGTCCCCATGCGCCTAGAGGGCGCCTAGCGATTTTTTCAACATTGCTCAAAATCTAAACAAATACTCAAGGATCAATTCCATGCTTTGTCTACTAACATGCTCTTTACTATGACATGGAAATATACACTGCTTTATACTAAAATCACAACACTTAGCAAATCTTCCCAATAAATACTATCAAGTATTGATCATGCTTCTCAATTCAAAATATACTCAAGTGCTAGCAATTCCATTTACTGTAAAACAAGGAAATCATACACCATTCATGCCAAATTCTCAATAGCTTAGCAAATCTTCTCAGTAGATACAACAAGTATTTAAACATGCTTCTCAATCATTTCAAACAAATATTGATCATGCTTTTCTACTCAATTTAACAAAACTCAGATGCTTCCATTTTCCCTTCACTGTAAAACATTTACAGAACACAAACAACATTCATTTCTCACAATTTCAACTATAAATCATGCATTCTAACTCCAAAATCAACGAAACTAACTTCTACTAGTGCGTCGTAACGAGCCCGAGTGTCCGAGCCTCAAGGGCCCACGAGTCCCGGTCTGAACAACGTGTAGGTGAGCCACAGAGGGCCCGGCCAGAACTGATTTTGGCCTAGTGGAGCTTGGCAACGGTTCTTGCCTAGAACCGTGGCCTAGTCCCGCTACTCAACGGGGCTTCCCAATGGACCTTGCCAGGGTCCGTTGGTGAGCTCCGTTAGGTGATGTGGTGCACCACCAGTGTGCACCAGACACCTTCTTCTTCATTTGAAATGCAACATCAGTGCAATCCCACTCATCTAAACCACAATAAATCAATCATAGATCAACAACAACATTTATCTAGCATTTCTACACATCTATTTCTCATTCTAGCAATTCACAGAGTCAAAATATAGTTTGGGAGTCCATGGTTTATACCTTTCCTTGTTCTTCTTCTTTGTGTGGATCCCTTCCTCCTCTCTACTCAACCACTACCACTTCCACCTCCTAGACTCCTCAACCAAACCACACAAATTAAACAACACAAAAAGAAAGAACATCAGAGATTGAAGCAAAGACAATGAAAATCTAGAGGAAAGATGAATGAATGGATGAGAAGAGCTTGGGGAAAACTTACTGCAATTGTTTCTTCCTTCTAACATAGAGCTCAAAGGTGAAGAGACAAGGAAGAAATCAGGAAAAATAAGGTGAAAAGTGATGAATATATAGGGTGCTAAACACTAGGTTGGTCACCAATGATTGGTGAAGGGAAAAAGGGTAAATTTGTGATTGACTTCTAACCTATCAGACAACTAGACAACTGTAGTAAAAGGGTTCACCTTGTAACTGGACCAAGGTCTAAAAGTGATTTTGAATGACTTAGGGTCAAAAATAGATTTTCTAAGAATAGTTTCTAGTTAAAACACTTGATTCAGGTTTCACAGGTTCCTTTCCAGTTTCACTCAGATTGACTTTTTGGGTCAAAACTTGGTACATAAATGTACCCGAAATTTTGGGATTTTCGAAGTAGAATATCCCTGGTGTCGAATTTATTTAAAACTCGATTTAAAATATTTAATTCAAACACCGTTTTCGAAATAAAAAATTTTGGAATAGTGAAAATAGCTATTTTGGAATTTATAAAATAGAATTTAGAAAAATTATTTTTGGGTTGTCACAATTCCGGTCAGCTTTATCGGCGTCGGAGCTGGAGGGAAGTTGATCGGGTTCCGGAGGCAGAAAGTAGTAAGATTGTTTATGTTGATACAGTGAAGGAAGCTCTATTACTGGCACCTTCTTCTCCTCCGCTGCCGCCGCGGGCGCCAACGGAGGTGACGATTCCAGAACCCGTATATGAAGATAAGGAGAAGGTAACATATGAGAGTCTTGAACCCAAAAGGAAGACTGGGAACACAAGAAGAGGGATCACAAGACGCCACCGGTACCGGCAACATCTCCGTCGCTGCCGCTGTTGTCGCACTATGTAGAGCCAAAGAGCAGTAAAAGTGAACAGAAGAGAAGTAGTAGCAGTGGGACTAAGGGGTTCATTATAAGCTCTTTGTATCACAAGAGGAAGATAAAGCAAAGATCACTGAGCGTAGACAACTTGGATGCTCTCCTTCATACATCACAGCCCCCTCATCTGCATTTCCAGTTACCTCTGCCACCTCCTCCGCCGAAGATTCTGACCAAACTTATTTAATTTGAGTGAGAAAAATGTGAAATGTCTATAATGCCCTCACAATTCACGGCTCAAACGGAAAACACGAACGGGAGGACTACGGCAGGTCACTTTTGAAACATGAAGGATCCCGGATGGTTGATTTTAAAGTTTAGGACCATAGGTGGCGGAACCACTATACTCGAGGGACCTTGGCTGGTATTAACTCTCAAAATTTATTATTTACCCTGAAGCCCCTACATAATTGTTAAGGATATCCTTAAGAGTGTGAGATTCTTAAGGAGTTGCCTTGCAAAATAAAAAATTGTCATCAGAAAAAAGTAAATGGGAGATTTTAGGGGCCCCTCTTGCAACTTGAATGCCATGAATCAGTCCTCTAGACTCTGCTCTCATGATCATGACACTTAATCCTTTTGCTACCATGATAAACAAATAGGGAGAGAGTGGGTCTCCCTGTCTAAACCCACGTTGAGGAATAATTGGTCCAATCAATTCACTATTTTGTAGGACATGGTAATCCATAGTAGTGACACACTACATAACCAACCTAATCCACCTATCATTAAATCATGACCTCTCAAGAATAGCTCGAAGCATCTCCCACTCAATTCATTCATAGGCCTTGCTCATATCTAATTTGAGAGTGACATAGTCTTCCTAACCCTGATATTTCTTCTTAAGATAGTGATGTACTTCGAAAGCCACCATAACAACATCTGAAATAATCCTCCCTGGAACAAAGAGACTCTGGACTCACTAATAACAATTTTAAGGAGTGGTTTCAACCTATTTTCCATTACCTTTGTTATCATTTTATAGACAACATTACATAGGGCAATAGATCTAAGGTCCCCCATACATTTTAGGCTAGTTTTCATAGGGATTAGGACTAATTGGGTATTGTTAAGACCATTAGGGAGCTTTCCAGTTCTAAAGAGATCAACACAAAGATTAACCAAATCCCCCCACCCATCCAACCCCCCCCCCCCCCAAAAAAAAAATCCCAGAAAGCTTGAAAAAATCATGGATTGAATCCATTCGGCCCCAGAGATTTATTGGGGTGCATACTAAAAACCGTAGCCTTAACCTCCTCCATTTTAACTTCCCCTATTAACCCCTGCTTTTGTAAGGCAGAAATGTGTTGCCTCATGCAGTTTAATGCTAGGGTTATTGCCAACATCCTCTACTATGACATCTTTGTGAAACTTGATATCAACATGGACATGCTCTAACACAAAAGTGGGGACAACTAGTCAATTTGGTCACTCTTGGTAACCAGTATTATTTGCCAGACAAATATCAAATATATTATAGTTTTTATATGTAAACAAATATTATATTTTGTTACTTGAAAAATATTAGTGAAAATATAATACTTATAAACACTGTTGCAAAAATTGGCCTAGGCGGGCCGCCTAGGCGCTAGGCGCCCCTAGGTCCTGGCGATTTCCACTCTAGGCACTTGTCTAGGTGGCCACCTAGGCGCCTACCGCGACCGACTTGATCGAGTTAGCGGCGAATTCGACCGAATTAACTTGTCCAATTCGATCGAGTTAACTCGGCCAACTCAGACTTGCTAATTTTTTTTC